GACCAGCTGTGATGTTTGACATTGTCCACGTAGCTTCCTTCTGAATATGAGTTTTGGGGTTCGTTAGGAAGCTGGGAAAAACAGCAGGTGCTCCTGCATCTATTACAACCTGAGTCTGTTCATCTGTCCCAGTGACAATATTTCCTATGGCTCTTAGCGCAGGAGTCACAATGGGTGATTCAGTAGCTCCTAGAAGCTTCACAAGCTGGGGCACAACTCCTGTTTTTACAACCATTTCAATCCGTTCATTTGGACCATCAGTAAGGTAGGAAATGGCCCAGCAGGTATCTGCCGGTACTTCTGGATCATCATGATGCAGGAGACAAACTAAGGTAGGAAGAATCTGCTCAACAGCATCTAATGGGGGTGCAGGATTCTTGTTGGGACAAAGCTTTGAAAGTGTCCAAGTAAGGTTACGTAAGTAACCACATGCTAAAGATGACATATCAGGAACTGCAAGGAGAGCCAATAGTGGGTCAACTGCACTGTACTTGATAACCAAGTCTCATAAAACTGACCCATCACCTGTAATGTTTCTTAGAGCCCATACAGCTTGTTCACTGATGTGGGCATGGGAAGATGCCAACAGAGAAATGAATGCTGGGATAGCACCTCCATCTACCACAGCCTTGGTCTGTTCTGACGTCCCAGAAGCAATGTTAGTGAGAGCCCAGGCAGATTCAAACTGAATGGGACTACAATTCAGTTCTGCCCAAGAAGGACACAAACTTTGGAATCAAACCAGCCCGGATTATGTTGTCCATGGGGGGCTGTTTTTCCCTAGAAAGCAGTTTCCTAGCAGCTTGAGTAGCCTGGAGCTGGCTTTCCAAATTGTTGCTATTTATGCCTTTGACAATGTCATCAACAGACCAATTTACAGTGCCCTTGTTGTTGTGGTTTTCCTGCAGTGGAGAGGTAGCCTCATCAGGAAATGAGCTTACGTTTCTCCTTTTCAGCATCTGGTCATCCTTCTTAGCTTTCCTCATCTCCACATTAACTTCTATTCGGCGCCGCCTCATTTCTGTACTGTCTTTCCCCTTGTTCTTGAATCTGTTAAGGCGGGCAGCTGGTGAATTAGCATTCTCGTTGGTGGACATGGTTATGAGACAAAGGGAGAAAGCTACACGGCCGGCTCAGGCTTCCACAGGAGGTGGTCCGGGGTGCTCAGGCTGCGGGACAGACTCAGGTTGGATCACCCCAAAGACGGTGTGGCTCGTGCAGCCGGCCGGCGCGATTTAAATTTCCCTGGGACAGTTTTACTTCTTTTCTAATCTGGATACTTTTCATTATTTTCTTGCCTAGCTGCCCTGGCTAAGACATGCAGTACAATATTGAATAGAAGTGGCAAGAGAGATGCGCTTGGGGGGCTCAGTCGGTTGAGTGCCTGACTCTTGATTTCAGCTCAGGTCATGATCTTAGGGTTGTGAGATTGAGCACCAAGTGGGGCTCCATGCTTAGTGGGGAGTCTGCTTGAGGTTCTCTCTCCCTCTCCCTTTGTCCCTCCCCCTGCTCACGTGCGCACCTGCTCTCTTTCTCTCAAATAAATAAATCTTTAAAAAAAATAAAAGTAAAAAATAAAATGCTTACATGTTTCAAAGCAAGAAACCAGACCAGCTTCCTCCAGATTTTGCAGAGGAAAGAATAGTTTACACATTCTTTGTCCATCGATCTTAAGGATATATAAGAGGAGGTGAGGAAATATGTTGGGGAACAATGTGACATCGTTTCTTTGGAGGAAATTGTGGAGTGCTGTGTATTTCCATTTTCATTTTCTTCCCTTTGGAGAGGAAAGGGGTGTTTCCACCCCACCTCAAGCCAAGCAAAGGAGTTCCGAAAGGACCCCTCCCTCTGGGTGGGGTATGGTCAGGAAGGGAAAGAACCTGTCACCCAGGACTAAGTTTGCTTAGCTGCAGAAATCCCTATGTCCAGGCCTGCTAAAGGGACCAGAGTTGAACTCTTGGGAGAAACCCTCAAATATATAGAGCATGTTCTCTGTGAACATGGCCAATGCTCAACCTTATTTATACTAAGAGAAATGCAATTATCCAACTGCAGAGAAATAGATAAACTGAGATGTACTTGTTGACACTATGTAGATGAATGACTGAGCCTCCACATAGTGATGAGCTTAGGAAAAAAACAGGTCACCAAAGACTATATAAGGTATAATTCCTGAACATAAAATTCAAAACTATGTCAAACCAAACCATATATTGTTTAGGCTAATTCTACCTCTATCCTTTATCTGTAGGCACACCTCATTTTATTGCACTTCACAGATACTGCATTTTTTAGAAGTTGAAGGTTTGTGGCAATTTTTCCAACAGCATTTGCTCACTTCCTGTCTCTTATATTTTGGTAGTTCTCGCAATATTCCAGATGTTTTCATTATTATGATATTTGTTATGGTGATCTGTGACTAGTGATCTCTGATGTTACTTTTGTAATCGTGTTGAGGCACCACGACTGTGCTCATATTGAAAGCAGTAACCAAGGGTCAATGAGACTAATCGCAGGTGTAGACGATTAAACACAGGTGGACTTTTTTTTTTTCTTTTTTATTTGAGAGAGAGAGAATGAGAGAGAGCACGAGAGGGAAGAGGGTCAGAAGGAGAAGCAGACCCCCCGCCGAGCAGGGAGCCCGATGTGGGACTTGATCCCGGGACTCCAGAATCATGACCTGAGCCGAAGGCAGTCGCTTAACCAACTGAGCCACCCAGGCGCCCCACAGGTGGACTTTTACCCAGACCTTTTTTATGTGTAAATTTCTCTGACTCTCCTCCTTTGGGGAGGTGGATGGGAGGGTTTTCGTCCTATCTCCTTGTTTGGCTGCCTCGCAAATAAACTCTCTCCTTGCTGCATACTTGATATCTCAGTGATTGCTGCTCATTGGACTGACGAACTTGGGTTCCGTTACAATGTAAGATGGTGAACTTAATATGTAAATGTCTGTATTCTGACTGTTCTACCCACTGGCCATTCCCCATTTCTCTCCCTCTCCTCAGGCCTCCCTATTCCCTGAGACAATATTGAAATTAGGCCAATTAATAACCCACAATGGCCTCTAAGTGTTCAACGGAAAGGAAGAGTCACACAACTCTCACTTTAAATCAAAAGTTAGAAATGGGGGCTCAGTTGGTTAACTGTCTTCCTTGGGCTCAGGTCATGATCCTGGGGTCCTGGGATTGAGTCCCATATCGGGCTCCCTACTCAGCAGGAAGCCTGTTTCTCCCTCTCCCTCTGCCATTTCCCCTGCTTCTGCTCTCTGGCTCTCTCGCTGTCAAGTAAATAATTAAAATCTTTATTAAAAAA